CGTTGGTTGTGTACTTGAAGAAGCTGCCTGCATCAGAGGTATGTTTACTTTGCAAGTAACCCAATGTTCGGTTAACATCTCCTATTAGATCGTCGTCAACTGTTCGGGATTGCTGAACAGCATTGTCCAAATCTTTTGGAGTGTACCCCAGATTCTCATATCCTCCAACTTTATTCTTCATGAACTGAACAATGTTGCGTTGTTTTATTCCTGACTGTCGCATCCCTATCGCCAGAGCCTTGTCTCCTTCACTCACATTTCGATGAGACCGAAGGAATTGACTTTCTTCTTCATTGCAGCAACGATGTGAGTGCTTCCTCTCAAACTTAGAAACAACCCACATTTTCTTATTCCGATCAAAGCGTACAGTATACGATGCCTTGCAATAATGTCTTGTCATCTTACGATGTTGTCGAGTCCGACCTTCTTTATCTATATGCATCTTATCTCTAGTCCCCTCTCTCGAACATACCATTGTCCTCCCAATTGCTACTCCTCGACGATTCCTCCGAAGATCTCTACGTCGAACGCTAAATCCTTTCGCTTTAGCATAGGAATCGTAAAATTTCTCTGCATCTTCTAATGTTTGGAACTCCATGGAAGGAATTTGTTGTTCATATTCAGTAGCTTCATCATCATCCATAAATTCTTCTTCAGCACCTTCGGTTTCATTATCATCCCCAACCACTTCATCATCTGTATTATCTGTATCATCTGAATTATCCATAGCTCCTTCTTGAGCATCCTTAGGTTCCTCATCGAAGTTAACCTCATCATCATCTCTATCATCTGTATCATCTCTGTTATCCATCCTGAAACGATCGGAATACGAACTTAATGTCAAAAACATACACAATTAGCGCTCGTCAGGTCGACCTGAATAAACTGTACGGTCGACCTTATTACTAAATAACAAACATGCGGTCGACCAGAATTTACTGAAAGGTCGACCTAATCATATAATTACAAAAGCGCGGTCGACCGGATGGTGAGGGTGGTCGATCGGATGGTAGGAAAAATTTAACCACATACAAGCATTAACAAGCACATACGAGACATACCTTAGCAAAGAGGTCGACCACTTATTGTTACGGTCTACCGGAATAAAAATAAACCGCCACCAACACCCGATCACAGTAAGAGCGATGATATTACAACTTCACTCCAACAAATTGCATAAATCGAAGTACGATTAAAGTCTTCAGACTCCCATCTATTTATGGATAATGTAGACGAATTCCTTATCCAATTGGTGAAAGATATATAAAATCATAATTCGACAAGGACAAGTACACAAAATCCTAATTGTACAAGGACATGATTCATTAAGGTCGACCTCTTTGCACAAATGGTCGACCGTTTTGGGTAAATGTGAAACAGGTCGACCTCTTTACTGAAATGGTCGACCATTGTTTATAAATGTGAAACAGGTCGACCTCTTTACTGAAATGGTCGACCATTGTTTATAAATGTGAAACAGGTCGACCTCTTAACAAGAATGGTCGACCGTATTTTATTAAGGCCAAACTGACGAGATTCCATACATGTTCTACATAGTTTTTGACTTTGCTACGATATCATAGGTCGACCTTTTGCGTCACGAGGTCGACCTGTGCTCTGCCTTTGGGTATGCCCGCTTTGAGTATGTGGTCGACCACTTGTTCTAGACGATTGAAATCGTAAATTCAGTCACATCCATAATTGTATAACAAATCTAATAAACGATAAACATTCAAAATCCAAAATGAAACGATCTCGCAAATACAAATTCAATGTATGGTCCAAATAATGCAACATTGTAACTTAACGACTTCATTTCTTTGCTTTTTTGTTTGAACTCTGTCTCTCTTTGCCTCGTTCCATGCATTCATCTACTACATGCTTGAAAATATTTTCTCGTGCAAGGTTTTCAAAATGTGTAGCCAGATACCATAGAATCTCTTTTCGCGCCGGTAATTTGTGTTCTTCTCCTATCTGCATTATGCCATGTAAGATTTCGTTACAACTAAAAAAAAGTGTAAATTAAACAAGTTATTTGTTTGACGATATACTCACCACTCTATCAAGATCCTTGGATCCATAGCGCATCCACTGCATGACGTGCACACCACACTCAGTACTATTCCTTTGCCGTTGAACTCGTAGCTCATCAAAATTGAAATCTCCAAAATTTGGTACTCCTACATTGCTCATCGCTCCGGTTTGAAAATATCATCCAAATTGGACAATTACACACAAATAATGAATATTTTAAGTTCCTAGCATCATACGTAACGCTTAACAGTCAGAAAATTATAGAAAACACTTACCAATTTCTTGCATAGTGCTGATTTACGCCTACGATTCGCCTCACTAGTTGAAGGTAGACTGTCAAGCAAAAATGCAGTTTTTTGCTGGACATTGACGAGATACAGAAACCAATGACGTGCTTCATCGTCAAGAACTGCCATAAATATCTAGCAACGAAACACTCACTATATGTTATAAACAGCGAATACAAACAAATGCACTTTCGAAATTTAATGATATAATGACATTGACTAGACTAACCTTCTGGCATGCACCGACATTCGGCATAAAGACCACGCCATCATTCATCAACTTGTTACGAATTTGTCTGGTCTTCATGTTAGCGCGTACCATTTTCTGCAGCATGTTTTAGTTGAGATGAATTGACATGGTACAATATAAATAACTAGGTTATGACAAATAATTTGACATTACGGCTCTTACCGAAAACATATTTGGCAAATACCACACATTTGGCTCTTTCACATCATGTTTTTCAGACATTGTTAGTGCCCTTGCACACAAATCCACTACCTACCATCCAACAATCAAACACAAAATCATCGTAAATCGTAACATAAATAGTGCACAATTCATACGAAAGTCGTAGTAGTATAGTACTTACTGATGAGCAAACCCAGCTATTCTCGCTAATGACCGAACTCAAATAATGTCGTTGCACGTTTTCAGAAAAAAAGTCCACAACGGTCAAACTGCAAAAATCAAAATAACAAAAATGTCAATTGTGATTTGCAACGTACAGGTCGACCTGTTCACAGTCACGGTCGACCTTATTGGAAAAGCGGTCGACCTCATAACCGATCCGGTCGACCACACGTACTAAAAAACGTCTTACTTGTCCCAATTCTTGTCCCCAGCCTTCTCTTTAGTAGCAACATAATACAAGTCTTCAACTGGATTTTGAAGATTTTTGGTGAATCCTTCTAGACCCTCCACTTTCATGACCTACAAATCATAGTTAAAATTAAAGTAACATATGAACACAAACACACATTATAGATGAATATGTAACGTAAACTTACCCCGTGCTTTTCGAAAGGACTCTTAGATTCTTCTTCATCGCTATCATCACTAAATAATCCTTTTCTTACAAATTGATCCTTCTGTGGAGTGGTGTAGGAGTCACTTTCATATCGAGGTCTCTTGTACTTAGGAGAGGAACCCTTGCTGCCATTCGTTGTTTCACTCTGTCAAACATATAAACAAAACAAATTAGCACTAATGATAGTAATACTAATATCTTCAATCACCTATGAATATACTTGGATACCTTTAAAATGTGCTCTTTCAATAAATCGTCTATGCTCTGGTAGCAATTTTCAGAGTCATCATGGTATTCTTCCTCTTTACCAAAGTCAAAATTAGGTCCTTTACCATTTCTTCCGCCATTCTCCATTCGTTCTGCACTTATATCTTTGATAGCACCTTCTAGCCTCTCAAACCCGTCATGCATCATCCCAGTCATATCTGTCAGTCGAACTGACAATTGCTCTACTCTATCACACATGGACTTCTGAAAGTCATTGACTTGTGTTTGACACACCACCAGCTTCTCTTGTGTGGCTTTCAACAATTTCATGATTTCACCCAAATCTTGATGCAGTTTCTCATCATGCGTCATTGTCTAAAAAATTTCAAGAAAAATTTAAATCATAATTCAACTTCAAATTTCTACAATTGACCAAAAAACAAATACGTGGTCGACCTGACATAGTATTAGGTCGACCTGGAAGACAAATAGTGACTACCACAACCATTAAGGTCGACCTCTGTTATTCCTAGGTCGACCTATCCAGCAGGAAAATAACAATTAACAACAAAAAGTAAGTTCTAAATTAAACCGAAAAAAGGATAGGTCGACCAGATATTTGGCGCGGTCGACCTTTTCAAGCACAACATAGTCATACAATCAAAGCCAAAGTCGACATTCAGGTTGAATAACCAAAAAAACAGGAACGGTCGACCTTGAAACCCATTAGGTCGACCAATTGGGTTACCTCGCAAGTAATGAAATCCAAGTGTTGTGGCCTAAATTCAAATACGCAGAATTGTCTCGTCAGGTCAACCTGATTGACGTCACGGTCGACCGAATGGAATTCTGCACCCAACAATATATCAAATTAGCCGGTAGAAATCACGCATTAGAAAAGAAGACGACGATACATTAGGTCGACCTCACCTTAGACCTGGTCGACCACTTCCAACGCGTACAACAGCAACCGCGAACGATCTTCTTCACAAAGGCTCTTAATCGGAAAAAAATCTAATTCAGACTTGGAGGCGTTGAAGGGGACTTATATTCGTATTTATAGAGATTTAGGACGTCAATGGGTCGACCCAATTCGTTTCCTTGTCCAATTGTGGAACCTTTCTGGTGTTGGAATCCATATCCAATACGGATACGGTGTGAAGGCGGTCGACCTCTTCATAATGCGGTCGACCTGTTAGGTGCACAAGGGTCGGCCTATGAGATATTTGGGTCGACCTTTCATTCTGTTAGACCACCAAAGCGGTCGACCGTATTATGTAAGAGGTCGACCGCGTTTTGGAACCCCACATACATGAATTGGTCCATTCGGTCGACCACATGTTGGATTAGGTCGACCGAAAAGTCTATGTCACGGTGACATGCATGTCACCGTAGCAAAATCCTAAAAATTAATAGAAGAAATAGTCCCTGATAAGTTCCTGTGACTAGCTAGTATAAGTAAGGATTTGGCGGGTACCAAACCCTAGCAGCTAATTAATTTCTTCTCGCCCGCATAACTCCCAGAACATGGATCGGAGGTATTGTTCGTTGCAGTCTCCGCTCTTTGTGTTCACGTCGGCGACTAGCATCCTCACGCTCCGCCTCATCGTGATCAGCACCGCGCTCTCGTCGGGATCTTCCATTCACGACCCTGCCGATTTGGAGGACACAAGGCGGCGCGTGTACTGGCAACTGCTCGTATGTTTCCCGGCAGCCTTGTATTTTCTGCACAGGAGGATCGAGCAGAGAAGAAGATCTCCGCCGCCAACTCCGGCCGACAACCCTCGCTATAATAATCATATCTCTCGTCGCCCGGGTTTCTCCCTGACCATCGAGCACAGGTGTCTTTCGTGGCCGTCTCCGTTCTTTGTGTTCGCGTCGGCGACTGTAGCCCTCACGCTCCGCCTCGTCGCGATCGGTACCGCGCTCTCGTCGGAGTCTTCCATCCACGACCCTGCCGATTTGGAGGCCACGAGGCGGCGCGTGTACTGGCAACTGCTTGTGTGTTTTCCGGCAGCCTTGTATTTTCTGCGCAAGAAGATCAAGCAGAGAATCGACCCTCGCTATACCGGTTTAGCTCATTATGTCTGGTAATTGATATTTGTGGTTTATGAATGGATGCGTATATATATGGTTGTATTTTACATAGCGTTTAATTAATATATGTATGCGCGTTGACATATATGAGATGTATTACCACCACGGTTCTTACATTTTAATTAAATTTATTTTATGATTTTAGTACAAAGAATTAAAGACTGAGATTATCCATTAATGGTTAGGGATATAGTATTATGTCGTAAAGTTTGGTTAATTCATGATCTAGTATAGCAAAACTTACTAGGTGTACGATTCGGTTAGCATATGCTACCAGGACTCATATTCTATAGATAGAATAGTAAGAACAGGTATGTATTTTGCAATTGCATGTGGGGATAATTTCTTGATATCGACCTACTTTGAACCCTAGGAAAAAAATAAATATTAGATTAAACATATAATAAATTTTACAAATTAGGGGTTAGCCTACAATTCACTCTCAGCAAGCAACCTCTGAAAATTTCGATTCTTTTAACCGGTGTATAAGTTATAGTATAATTCTTACCTAATGTTCTTTTTGGGTCTAATACCTCATGTTCTTCCTCAACAACTTTTTACGAGTTAGAATGTGCTCCGGTTTTTTAAATTAGGAACAAAAACTTGATTTAGTGGTAGTGTCGCTAATATTGAACATGGATATCTCAAGTTCGAATTTCTTAGAATTAACTTCTGTATAGTGGTATGTTTCATTAAGGTGGTTCCACAAAAAAAAAATGTTTCATTAAGGTGAAATTATAGATTAATATGTCTCGACAATAAAAATAAAAATAGTTCAAAATTGGAGGAATTTGAGATTTCCCAAAGGTTGAATAAATAGCTGGATAATTATACCCCGAGGCTCAGCGCTCCTCTGACCTCAAAATACATGTTCCAATCCAGTTATGCAAACAATGGACAAAATCACCAACACGATGCCTCAAGTTGAATATAGATGTTGGTCTTCTTGGTGAAAATGATTGATAGGATCAGATTGGGTGGTGTGTTTTGTGTGGTAGTATTATTTTTGTGATTGTTTTTTGACGAGTTGTGCAATGTGTATTTCTTTTCATTAGTATGGAAGAATTTGAGCATTTGTTAATTGACATGTGCTAGGCAAACTATTTGTTAATTATGAGAATACTCATAACCCGAAATGACCCAAAACGTTATTGGAAACTCGATGGATTGGGTTAATATTTGACCAAAAATCAACCAACCCAACATGATCCTACCCATGACGATTCGTAATCCGAGTTTCTCAGCACGAGATTACCCAACCCGACCTGATTGTCAGGTCTAATGAAAATTATTTTTGCAAAGGGAATGATGACGTTAGAGGGTTTCGCAAGCCACATACCCATTAGAGGGTTCAGGAATCAAGACGTGCAATAGATCATTGTTCATATAAGGCCTACATTAGTGTCTTAACTACACTAGAACCATTTCTCTCTATATAAATAAGGCGAAAGAAATCATCTTAAGTTGTGCATAAAGTCCTGTCATTGTCTCTTCTTGAGTTATTTTTCTTCAACTTTGTAGGGTGATTTCACTGACACTGAGGTGTTGCTTTTGGAGGTTTCCTGAAGAGATTGTAAGATTTTCTTTCTATATATTGTCATCACTTGGAAAAGAAGAAAAAACTGAAACAAATCCATAGGAAGCGCAGCTTAGAAATAATGGCAGAAATATCTTTATATCCTTACCCAGAATTCTCTCTGGTATGCATACTTTCCTCCAAACTCAAGAACATGCCACTGTAGTTTGTATTACGTGTCCTAGTTCTTGTCGGTCTCGTATTCTTACGTTGGAGTCCTGTTGCTTGTGTCCCACGTATTGTTCATCGTGGCTTAGGAGTCTTTATCTTCTATATAATGGCCGGTTCATGGTTGTAGGCCATAACTAATTATTCAAACACAGAATAAATAAAAGTATAGTTGTGAGCTCATTCGAGCTCACCGTGGATTAGTCTCGTTCAATCAAGAACGAGGATACCACGTAAAACTCCTGTGTTATTCTATTCTACCTATTCCGCATATCAAAATTCTATAGGGTAATAGAGCTAATCGCAACCTAGGGTTAAGGTTTTTTCGTTGTTGGGTTGGGTTTGAGTTTTTCAAACCCAGTGGGTTTTACCTCGAGTTTTTTTCACGGATAAACCCATGGGTTTGAGTTTGGCAAAACCTGACCCATTGCCATCCCTAAATTCAACTACGACTTTTTCCTATAAATAGGGAGCACCCCTCCCCCTTTCTCATAACAACAAGTCACACACACAACATAAGTCGCTTACGACTACTTCACACAACACAACTCACACACAATACACACTCTCTCTGCTTTCTCTCTCTAAAAACGTTTTCTCTCTCCTCCCGATCTCCCAAAACGTGTTAAATCTCTAAACACTCAACACGCCTTCAATTTGGCGGACTAAGCCATGAAATCGTGGATAGTCTCCACCGAGCGGCATTAAATAGCCGACGACGCTCAATTACGACCGTGGGACCGAACTAGGTCTAACGTCATCTTGTTTATTTTATTCCATTCAGGTTACTAATTTGAGCGTCGGAGGAGGTTCCAACCAGGACTCCCCCGGTGGGACCTATTTTTTCAGGTATTCGCACGGAGCTGGAGGTGGTTAAAGGCTCTGGGACAACGCTCTCCGGACCTTCAACATATTGAAGCAGACTGCTCTAAGTTTGGCACCAACAACTGCATTACTTGAAGAAGTCAAGTTGTTCTAGGGGTTTCATTTTGCTTCTATACGTTTGAATAGTAGTGACTAATTACTGACAAAACAAGTCTTTGTATTTTTGCATGCCTTTTCACATAAATCTATGATAATATTCAAAAAATAAGATCCCAATAAACTTTAATCTTAAGTCTTAACGACCCCACTGCCAGCTTTTATATATTGAACATATAAGAAGAAAAAAACTCATTTTATTTCATGTAGATGATGGACGTACAACTTTTATTCATTAGTGCTTTATAGTACTAAGAGCAGGCAAAATCCTACTCAGTACATGCACATTTTAGAGACCGGATTTAATTAGGTATCTTAATCCCACCAAAAAAAAAATTTAGGTATCTTAATACCGTTTCCTTTTACTCTTCGTGTAATCATCATCTTCTTGTATATAGATCGAGTTTCACTCTCTTCTTGGTGATGGCGGAGAATGGCCGCCGCCTTGGCAACCATTTTGACAACCATCGCCACAATAATCAACAGTTGTCCCGCAGAAGCCAAACGGACTGCAGCAATACCCAGGGTCGCACGTCGCGCCGCCGCCCTGCGAGCCGCAGTGAGGGTCGTTGTAGGAGCCGTCGTCGTCGCCACCCTTCACCGTGACGCCGCCCCGCCTGAAGGCTGCAAAAGAGTTACCCTTATCGGGAGGAGGCGGCGACTTCTTGTCTCCGTCGCAGTTGCTCAGGCAGCCTTCGCCGCAGTGCTTGTCGGTGTTGCCGCACCACCCGAACTCACTGCAGCAGCCGCCGTCCTTGCACTTCTTGCCGGGGCCGCAGTCCTGAGCATTAGCCACGAATGCAGCAGGGTTCGTCGCCAATAATATTAATGCCGCTATGATCAGCAGAGGGAGAGCCATGTTCATGTTGATCTTCATTTTTTTTCCCTTGTATCCTCACCACCTTTGATTGTGTGTTTTCCTGACTGCTTTGATTGTGTGATTAGAAAAGTGGTGATTTGGGATCGTATTTATACACTCGTGATTATGGTTGTGGACAGAATTATACAAGGGTGTTATTCTATTATGTTTGAGTTTTGTGGAGATCTGCTATTCTATGTACGATGAGTTGGTTAAGAAAAGGGAACCCAACAGAGGATTCTTTCCCGTTAAAAGGAGTCGGTCGTTGCCTGCCAGTGCCATCTTCTTTTCCGGTGTGAAGTTAAGGTCCCGATTATGGTTAGTGGAGTTTGCGGACTTCATAATTTCTTCTTGGGGAAAACAACATTCAACATACACACACTCGATCGGCGGAGCCAGCTCCAGCAAGGTTATCCTTTTGGCCAAACAAATACAAAAAAGGGCAAAATTTGGCAGCAGACTAGGTTGCCGCTCCTAGCAGCATCCCGCCCACGTGTAGCCTACCTATTGGGCTTTTTTCAGTTAATCCTTTTACTGTTAAACCAATTCAATTATTTGAAGTAGATGGAGACGGAACGGATACATCATACCTGTACTTACCATTATTTCCTTTTCCTTTTTTTTTTTTAAATTAACAATTGACGATTAAAGTGGAACGGATACAAATTCTCCCTTTAGGTTTTCTCCCCTTCATATAAATGTCATCTTCTTTTTGCTTTTCCATTTACGCCAAGCGGCAGCAGCAGTATATCTCCCCTCCCAAACTTTCTCTGTGTTATCATTTACTCCAAGCCGTAGCATTAACACATCTCACCTCCAAACAGAAGAAGCCTCCACTTTCTATGTGCTGAGGCTTGAGTTTATTTTGAACGATGTCTTCGACAACAGGTTCTTTTTCTAATTATGACTACTCTATCTTTTACCTATTTGAGCCTCGTAAAGTTATTGATATTGGAAGTTGAGTATGTTTGGCTGCATCTTCTCATGTATTAGTGGAAACGCTTGATAACAAATTGTGGGAACGAGGTTGGGGTAAAAACATGGACACTTTTTTTTAAGTGTGACCATGTTGTTGTAACCTGCCTTCTTATTTGTATCTTAACATGCCTCACATTGATAGACACAATAGATATTGTCTCCTACTTGTTTATTTCTTTTGCTGGACACGCCCTCTTTTTCTTTTAATTTCCTTTGTAAATTTTATTTCTCATTATTTAATGAATATAATCTTTACATAAAAAATTTTGCTATTGCATAATGATTTATTTGATTTTTTGTTAAGCTTAATTTTTTTGGAAACCCACCGTATGCTTTCAATTTTGATATAAAAAGTGAGAAGCTATTTTGGTTGGGTACATTTTCATGTACTATGGGTTGCTCTAATATGGGTGATCATTCTATATATATATATATATATGGATTCGACTCGTATGGTCCAGACGCATAGCATGCTCCAGGTGCTTTGCACCGTAGATCTAATCTAACGGCCATTATAAATTTTGTTAAAATTAATAATTATAATTACCACTTGCACCTTTTAAATAATTATACCTGCTATAAAGTCCCCCCACAAAAATTACCGTTATGTTTTCGCGTATGGTACAATATTTCGTAAACTTTTTTAATTGAACACCCAAAAATCTATAATTGATAAAAAAAAGAGGTCAATTAAAATTTGCTCCAAGTAATGGATCGTCATCATCTCACATTCCAATTGAACCTCCATCGTCATCATCTGTTCATCATAACTGCCGCAATAGCTAACCACATCATCATCAAAACCAAACAACAATCAAAACCTAAACCCCAAACACCGCCATCTCCATCGATTTCGTCTTGGCCGTCAACCCTTCCCCATCTGTGGCCGTGTCTCCGCACCGCCATCTCCATCGATTTCGTCGTTGTCGTCAACCCTTCCCCCAGTTCTCCAGCCCTTTCCCCAGCTTCCCCATGTGTGTTTGCGTCTTCGCACCGCCATCTCCGTCGATGGCAGGGATAGCGATGAGAATGAGAAAGAATAGAATTATAGACGATGGGCGAAGTCTGGGGAATTTTGATGGTGTTCAAGGAAGAGAGGAAAGGGATCGTCAAATGAAATTGGGGCTGGATAAATAACAGGGAAAGAAACACAAAAGTGAAAGGTGTTTTGTGTAATGCAAGAGATAATATAAAAGGATATGTAAATTTTTGGGTGTTTAAATCATGATTGGAAGATATTAGGTATGGTATTATAAAAAGATATGAAAATTACTTATGAGGATTAAAGAGCACGTTTATAAATATAAAGGGTCCAATTAGTCATATTTAAATCATAATTAATAAATCAGTTAATTATTATTAATATTAGCCGTTAGATCAGATCAACGGTGTAAGAAGACTGGAGCATGCTATGCGTCTGGACCATACGAGTGTTACCCATATATATATATATATATATTTTTATTTTTTTTTATGGTATTATTAGCTCTCATAGTCTTACACAGTTGATATTATGTTCTTTCTTGCAGGCACGGATCACATGAGTCCCAAAACATTTGGTGTGAATAATATGATTGGAAAAAGCGAAGTGCCATGTATGGGCATGAAATTCGACGGTGATGATAGTGCATATGAATTTTATAAAGCATATGCCCACATCATTGGTTTTAGTGTAAAGAAGCGCTATATCAAGCGAACAAAAGTAGGTGAGGTGAAAAGAAGAACATTTTGTTGTTCTAAAGAAGGCAAAAAAGGTTTCGATAAAAGGCGCAAGAATGTGGCTTTTCAGCGACCAATTACAATAATCGGTTGTAAAGCACAAATGATTTGCCTACTAAAAAAGGACGGCTTGCTGGAGATTGTTTCTTTTGAAGCAAATCATAATCATGAACTTGCCCCCACTCCAATGAAGCACATGTTGAGGTCCAACGAAAAGATAAGTTCTGCTCAAAAGGCTATTGCAAACGATGCTGAGAGAGCTGGGTTGCCAATTAAGGCAACTATTGATCTGCTAGCAATACAGAATGGAGGCCGTCAAAATAATGGGTTTTTGGATTTAGACTACAAAAACTATATCCCTGCACAGAGACGAGCTGCAATGATTAAAGGAGATGGTCAAGAAATTATGGATTATTTTCGTAAAGCACAATCAGAGGATCCGTCATTTTTTTACTCAGTGCAACTTGATGATGATGATTTTGTTCTGAATATGTTCTGGGCTGATGGCAGGTCAATAATTGATTACAAGTACTTCGGCGATGTTCTATGTTTTGATACAACTTATAGAACCAATGAGTATGGTCGACCTTTTGCTCCATTTGTGGGAGTCAATCATCTGAAGCAGACTGTAATCTTTGGGGCGGCATTACTTTATGACGAAACAATATCATCCTTTAAGTGGTTATTTGAAGCATTTTTGGGTGCAATGGCTGGAAAACAACCTAATACCATATTGACGGATCAATCAGCTGCTATGGCCAAAGCAATTGAAGAGGTATTTACTGAAACTCATCATCGTTTATGCGTTTCGCATATTTATCAGAATGCTGCTAAACACTTAAGCCATGTGTTTCATGCATCCGACCAATTTGCTAGTGATTTTAGTTCATGCATATATGACTATGAAGATGAAGATGAATGGTTTAGAGCTTGGGATGTTATGCTTCAAAAGTATGGTCTGGAGAATAATGAATGGTTGGATGGAATATTTTCAGTAAAAGAAAAGTGGGCTATGGTTATGGGCGTCATATGTTTACTGCTGATATGAAGAGTACACAACGCAGTGAATCAATGAATAGTGTGTTAAAAAGTACCTAAAGCCGAAACATCATATGGTATACTTTTTTGAGCATTATGATCAGTTGGTAGAAGATAGAAGGTATCAGGAACTACTTGCAGAGTTCAAAATGAGGGATACAAGCCCACCATTAAAAGCCGATGTTGAGATGTTAAGGCATGCATCAGTTGTGTACACTCCTAAAGTGTTTAAAATGTTCGAAGAAGAATATTTGAAAGTTTGGGATTGCACGATTGAAAAGATCAGCAAAATTGAAGGTCAAGCAGAATATAAAGTGAGAAATGCTGGTAGAGGTACATGGCATCGTGTCCCATTTGAGTATTTGCCTCAAAGGGTTGAATGTAGTTGCAAAAAGTTTGAGTTTGTGGGGATTTTATGTTCTCATGCTTTGAAAGTTCTTGACAAGAAAAATATAAAGCAAATTCCAAGGCAATATATATAAAAAAGATGGACAAAGGATGCAAAAGATGGATGCATCAGAAGTTCAACTCGAGTACAGGGAAGTTCCGAGAAACTCGCTGGGAAGCGTTACTTCAATATGCATTATAATTTTCGAGAAATATCAACACTAGCAGCTGAAAGCGACATAATGTATGAGCATGCAAGTGAAGTTTTTTCAAATTTGCTGAAGAATTTGCAGGAAATGAAAAAAAGTTCACATGCTGGAACTTCTGATGAGGTATTGGGCTCTAATCCTGAACTAGATTATCCAAGTGTAGCTGGAGTAAAGTCAAAAGCTACGGTTGGACGGCCGAAAGGAAGAATTAAAGGTGCATTGGATAAAGGAAAAAGTCACAAAGTTCAATCAAAATCAAAGGTATTTTCCCCTTCTCCTTACTGATTATTATATAAGATAAAACTATTATACTATCTTCTTATATTATTTATTTTTAAAATATTATTATACACAGGGTAAGAAGATGAAAGCTAGTTCTTCTCAACAAGGTGGAAGTAATTCTGAAGTGCAAATACAAAATAATCAGGTTTATTTTGCATATCCAACATCCAAATAAAAATGCTAGTTTTTTTTCTCTCATATCAAAGTTTAAGTGAAATTATCTTATCAATTATATAGTAACAACTATTATAATTTTCAGATGGTGATTGGGCACCAATCTCAAAGTTCAATTACCAGACCAAGCGAAGAAAACTTTGATTCTACAATTTCTGTAAACAATATATCATTCACACAATTGTTACAGGTATGGAGACAATCCAATTATTTTTTTTCACTTTAAAAAAATAGATAAAATATCATTCTTGTATTTGTTTAATTTGCAAGAAGCCATAGCAAATCCTCATCTAGACGGTGCAGAACAATGACAACATTTGTTTTTTCTTAAGTATTGATTATTGCATTTCAAGAGATTATATTATTAGAATAAGATTTGTTATTATTGAGAATGAATACACAAGACAAATTTTAATTGATACTATTAATTTTGAATGATTTATTTATATGAGAATTAGTTTATTTAAAATTATGGTGATAAACATCAAATCTACTATGCAAAGTTGTCACTTTTTCTTAGAACTAATAAAGAGCTACATCTATCTAAAAGTGAAGTGAATAAAAATTAAGCAGACTGTATTATAAATTTGATACCTGTTCATTGAAGTTAATACCAATTGAAAAAAGGAAAAGCAAGTAACGGAAAGTACATATCCATTCCGTCTCCATCTGCTTCTAGTAAATTGAATTGGTTTAACAGTAAAAAGATTAACTGAAAAAAGCCCAATAAGTAGGCTACACATGGGCAGGATGCTGCTTGGAGCGGCAACCTAGTCTGCTGTGAAATTTTGCCCTAAAAAATATATATAATTAGGACTCCCAAATACTATCATTCAACGTTAAGATAAAATCAAGCCCCAATTCCTCAATTCTATCATATATTTGATTGAGTAACACAACTTCGTAACAAAATCCCATGTTAAACGATCCTTTTATAATCTCTTATTTTCCGCAATCGAATTGTATCTTCACTTTAGTTCAAATTGAAATAACTACAAAATAATATGTGATATTCACAATGATATTTATTTTGATACATATAAAAATATTTTTTCAAATTGCAGTAAGTGTAATACGAGGTCGTATCAATAAATTGTAGGTGTACTATGATAGTCGTACTGCACTTTCCAGGGTCATAGGTGATAGGACTGTGCAATCTACACAATAAATAAAAGACAAATGAGAAAACTTGAAGCCTCATTACAAATTTCCTGCATCCAGAGTGAAAGTAGGAAAGGTAGATTCGTCTTCACAGTTATTTATTAACTTCTTATTTGCAGAAAAAAATACATAAGTAATGAGATTTGAATCGTGGTCTCTTCAAACAAAGATAAGAAACATAACCATTTACAATATAAACACATTTGTGTGACCTTTTCCAATTAAAAACATATAGGAAGCTTAAATTTAAAAAATCATAGGACTTTTCCACCATGGTTAGCAACCGAAATGTCATTGATTCAAATATTGCATACCGAATTGCACTCTTGAATGTCTAGAAGCGATGTAGAATTCTTAACATAAACTTACTTGTTATAACTTCCATAAAGTAACAATATTTTTAAACATAGAACTTTTGAGTGAATATGGGGCACATGTGTCTTTAAGAGGGGTAAATATGGAAAGGTTAAGTGATGTTGGTTAGCCGAATGCGGATGAAAAAGACACAACTAATGTAAACGAGCCCAATTAGTGCCCCGACCCACTAAACGCTCAACCATCGTCGTCTTTCCAAACTTTCCATCAGACTCAACAGCCGACTAACCTCCTCTGCCTCTATTGTTACGCTAGAGCAATTTAGATGGGTAAATATGGAAAGATTGAGTGTTGTTGGTTTGCCCAACGCGGATGGAAAAGGCGCTACTAATGTAAACGGGCCCAAATAGTATCCGGCCCACGCGGATAAAAGAGAACGCTTATAAAGCTAAATAAAGAGGTTTTATCCCATACAACTACCTTATCATGTGTGGCACCAAAAGCTCAACCATCCGGGTTACTTTCGCTAAACCTAATATAATATTGAAATGGGAAAGGTGTTTCCCCCATTAGAAAATCCTTGCATCCATAGCAAAATTAGGAAGGGTAGATTCGTCTTCACGGTCATTTATTATTTTCTTATTTTCAGGAAAAATACATTGGTGATCAGGTCGACCCATATTTGACAATTGCTCGAAATTGAATATAGGGCACCCACATCGACATACATAAGCAAAAAAGACGCAGGGCATAGGTTGATTTTCCTGTATTTGGTCGACCTCGTACCGGATTAGGTCGACCGCGAAACCAACCCTTTTCATCTTCATTTTACGTCAAATTGTGATGGATATATGGATACAACACTTCTCTTCTATCTGGTCAACCTCTTTATGTAAATGGTCGACCATTTTGTTAATGACCGCCATCAAGTGTTCGACCTATATACCTTTACGGTCGACCGATGTTTTATTTGGTTGACCAAAAATGACGACTTAAATTACAAACGGTCGACCACTACATTTTAAAGGTCGACCACGATAAGTCATCAGGGTGCCCACATTATTGTATTCGGTCGACATGCATGTCACCATAAGCATACCCTTTTTTTTTAATATGGGTGATATAGATTTATCCTTTGTAGTCTAGTTGCTTATAAACTTATAATACTTTTTCTTCATTTGAGTAACATGATTTCAAATCTCAATAATCAAAATTTTATTATATAAACAAATGATGTACAATTACTAAATGGAGCTTCTTGAAATCGCTCCCCGTCCACGAAATTTGAAATGGGGTTGTAGTTTTTTTATTCAACTATAAAGCAATGGGTTGTGTGATTAGGGTTCAAATCCTACTAATGCACTTTTTAAATATATAAACAAATGAGGTGCAATTACTAAATAGACCATACTAGAATCACTCTCATGCCACGAAATTTGAAATGGGGGTGACATTTTTACTTTTCAACTATTATAAACTAGCTTATAAGTTATAACCGACCCGTTGGCCGGAATATTCATGTTGATTATTTTTATTTTTATTTTACATTTAAGTCTATCATCCTGTTTAATTTTATTGACAATCCTTCGATCAATTTTATATATAAAGAAAAATTATATACGTCAAACATTAAGAGAAACATCACAATCATTTAAGAATATGAAATATAAAATGTATCATTGATCTCATTTTCATAGTGATAATTAAGCCCCTTTAAAATGCTATTGGTTAGTTGATGGTCAAGAAAGATAGAGTATAAAAGCTCACTGGAATTCCCACACGACACATAGAAATCAACCTCACAATCCTATATAAAGGGTAAATGCTCTCCTTTTAGGAAAAATATGTCACCACTAATAAAAAAGAAATGGAGAGTTGTTGATTCAATTCAACTATATACTAACAATTCAACTAATAGTGGACCATAAAAACTTGAGAGCAAACAAAAAATTAGGGTTGTTTCCAATATACTAATAGACTCGATCAAAGTAATAAGACACAAAATTAGACACTCCTTATCTATAAATTCCAGTAGGTTGAATAAAGAATCGACATCCTTCAATGATTCCTCATTTTAAGATATAAATAGGTTGTGATAGCTGCAAAAACCATAAACCTAAAGATCCAATAGCCACCACTCTTTGTCATACAACAAAAATTTTATCCACTCTAACGTCAATTTCAAGAGGCATATGTTTCAACTTTCAACCAAAAATTCAATTTCTAATCCTCATTCTCCAACTCCATCTATTGAACTCGATTCTATTCGCCATGGATTGATATCGGACTTGAAATCATCTACTTGCCCCAACTTAAATCCCCAACATTAAAACCGTAGTTCCCAGAGATACCAGAAGATTGATCTTCAAAGACGACCTTGTATTGGGAAGTAAAAGGGGCGCAAACTATTGCATGATGTAGAGAATTTCGGAGGAAGTTAGAAAAAGATAAGAACAAAGATAAAAAAACACAAATTTTATATTTTAATTGAAAAATACATAAGGTAGACTTAGTGGGCTTGTAAATTAATTATATGGATGTGGGCGGGTACCCATGGGGCGGGTTACCTAAATCCAAACCCAACCCGACCCGGTGAATAGTGAACAGGTTTAAACTCAAACCCGACCCAAAATCCATCAACACGGGTTTTACCCACGTTGACCGGGTTGGGTCGGGTGGGTACCCGTGGGTTCGGGTTTTATTGTCATCCCTAAGCAGAATGCAAAGTTATCTATGGATAATGGAGTGATCATAAGTTAAATGGCCCTTCAACTAAGTGGAGCTTCGAATTGGTTTGTGAAATAACTGTATTTTGTCGATTAAAAGCTCTCATGGTGCCTATAGCTTTTGGTGCGTTGTATTTCTGTTAAATGGCCCATCAACTAAGTGGAGCTTCGAATTGCCTATAGCTTAGTTAAAAAAAAATACTATGGTGTGATTGAGAGGAAGAGGAGGCAAGCTTGATGGATTAGTACTAACAAACCGCCATACATATGTATGTTTATATATGTCGCAACCGCCCCTCGGGAATCGGGGAACCCGTCGCGATTTGCTCAGAGTCGCCATCGATCTTACTTGCAATGTAGTCAAAATCGAGATTTTGATCGTAAAATCGTAGGATTTTTTTTGGATTTTACTTAGGGATTCCGATCCTGATTTTACTATAAAATCAGTGGACCTTAAAATCGTTCAAAATCGGGATTAAAATCATTAATTTCGTAAAATCGTACCAAAATCGAGATTTTGATCCTCGTGAACAAAATAGGGAGCTTGAGCCAATTCAAAAGAAGTTGAACTGTTTCGGTGGAAAGGGCAATGACGGGGATCTTCTCATATATTTTTTCTATTAAAAGAACATTTGAAATGAAAAGAAAAAACTAATTAGGGTTCGGTCAACCCCTTTCCCTTCTTCTTGTTTAATTCATCGGTAAAACAATTGTCAGAATATTGTAAGTGAGTAAGAATTAACCTCATTATTAACAAATTATTTGATTAATGAATATATTTGTACCAAACCAATGACATTAATTATTTTATTGGATTTCAGTTATTCTTAGTTTTAAATCATGCTTAGTAGACGATGTCAGAATACTACTTTGAGTTAAACTACTTATACACAACATGAAAAACAAGAGCCAAACGTCATGAGCTCTATCCCTTCCTCATAAATTATTTCGAGTTACGCATTAAATAACAATTAAAATGATGATTTTGGAACATTAATCTTGAAAATTATCATTTTAAATGTTACGAGTCTTTGTGTTATTAATTTACCTTATTAATATTATTATATGTTAATTTCTATATAGTACTTAAAATCCTACGATTCTACGATTCGATTTTACGGATTGTTTTTACCCCAGTTTTTTATTTTAGGTAAAATCTCGATTTTAACTGCTTTGCTTACTTGGAGTGGATCGAACACTCATTTGGTCTGGTTCCAACCTTAGGGTCAGAACCGGGATTTGGTCGCCGAAATTTAAGATTATAGGTTCGGGAGTACGGTTATGTGTGGGGAAGTGTATTCACACCCCACAATGCCCCAAATGGGTACTACTTATTTTCAATAAGTTTTTAAGAGTTGGGTGTATTATTATTTGCGGCTTTTATTGATGTAGTCTCACACATTAAACGTGGAGAAATTTTTTTTGATTAGTTGGACTTGAAACCTATTGGTTGCCTACGTACCCGAGTAGTCGGGATCAAAGTCCACGTAGTTCACTTAAAAAGGGTGATTTGAAATGTTAACGTTAGCACGTTAAATTGTTAAGAAAATTTGTTAGTTGGACTTGAAACCTATTGGTTGCCTACATACCCGAGTAGTTGGGAATCAAAGTCCATGTAGTTCGGTTTAAAATAATAGGATTTTTTATGAAGTGATCTTAAACACGTTCTATTGATCCTGATTAAGATGATTTGAGTTGTTAGGAAATGGATTTATGATTTTTCAATTTAGTGATATAATGTTATATCGCCTTTTGGAAGAATTTCATCGGGAACGACTATCACGGCCTACTGACCATGATTAAATATTCGAAAAATCTCTAAGTAAAATAAATATGTGTATGTAAAATTAAAGCCAAATTTAATCAAAGTTTTAACATTTTGAGATACCGAGAAGTAATCGTAACTTAGCTAATGCAAAAGTCTTGACACGATTAGTCGATATAAATTTTGCGTATTAAACTTACTGTAAAATAATTAGTAGCGGGTCTCGGGTTCGAGTAACCCTAGAAGTGTTTTTTAATTTATAGTTTCTTGCAGAGATCAAAGCGGGGGCATTTTAGTAAAATGAGGGGTACGGGTATAAAAACCTCTCTTAAGCTGAAACCGAAACCCTAATCTCAATTCCTCTAAACCCTAAGCGCCGCTCACCTCTCAAGTGTAAAGCTTATTTACTCTAGCTATTATATGTTTGTAATATTCGGTATTTGTAATTGTCTATTGGCAATGTTTATTGTGATTTCACTTTCTTTTAATAAGATATTAATAAAATTTGTTTTTTTCTTTTATTGTTCCAAAGTCAAGCCCAATGTTTGCTAAAGTCGAAGGATTCGGAAACGATATTCAACAAGTCGACTCAAAGGCCACCAAACTAAGCTATTGCCTAATCTGTTTGCCAAAATTGAAACGCAACAACCATCGTCGGTATTGCTAATCTCATTGATCCAAAGCAAATACGACATATCCAAAGTCCAAACACTTAAATACGACTTCAGCTAGAAGATTTGTAAAAATCGATACTGCGGAATAGAAAGATGACACGAGACAACGGTTTACGTGGTTTCCCCACTCGATGTGAGTGGGACTAGTCCACGGAGAGCTTGAATCTCTCGGAGAGAATTTTATTATTCTACTGTTCTTGGCTTAGGGTCCGGTCGCCATTCTTCTAGCTATTTATACAAAAGCAATTAATCTAACTCTATCAACTGGCTACGTACATGAGAAAGGCAAATAACAAAATGACCCCTATATAATTAACAAGTGTCATAGGGAGTCACAACACTCCCCCTCAAGCGAAGGAGTGAATGTCAAGAAGTCCAAACTTGACAAAGAGGTGGTGAAACTGATCCACACCTAGCCCCTTGGTGAACAAATCCGCTGGTTGATTGGAGGTGGCTATCTTCGCCGGAGCAACGTCCCCAAACTGAACACGTTCCCTAACAAAGTAGCACTCCATCTCGACGTGTTTGGTACGTTCGTGGAAAACAGGATTCACAGCGATATGCAGAGCAGCCTGATTATCATAGAACAGAAGAGTAGGAACAGAAGAAGGAACCCCCAAATCGCAAAGTAGCCAATGAAGCCAGAGAACCTCACTTACAGTTAGGGCTGTCAATCTGGTTTGGTTTGGTTAACCAAACCATTAAGTATGAAAAACCAAAAATCAAAAACCAGATCCCAAAAATAAAAACCAAAACCATTAAGGCCCTTATTGGTATTCGGTTGCCGAAAACCAATAAGGGCTTTAATGGTTTTGGTTTTGGTTTGGATAACCAAAAAACCAACATGTACTCATACACTCATATTTATTCTCATTTTCCTCCTTTTTATCGAATAAATGTCATAATAATGATAAATGGCCATTACAAATTATTGGTTGGCATGCGTGTAAAAAAAAACAAAAATATTTGTTGATAAATAATTTTGTTCTTAATGGTTTCTATTGGTTTTTCGGTTTTAACCAAACCAAAACCATTAAGTTGCTTATTGATTTAAAACCAAAAAACTGAAACCATTAGCTTTCCAATTGGTTTGGTTTCGGTTAAAACCAAAAAACCAAAACCATATGGACAGCCCTACTTACAGTGCTAGCCATCGCCAGGTACTCTGCCTCAGCAGAAGAGCGAGCAACCACAGTCTGCTTCTTCGTACGCCAAGAGATAGGAGAGGTCCCGAGGGTCACGAAGTAACCAGTCGTGGAGCATCAAGTAGTAGGACAATCGCCCCAGTCAGCATCACAGAAGGCAGTCAAAACAACAGAAGCATCCTTCGCAAAGAAAAGACCACGACCCGGAGAGGATTTTAGATACCTTAGAATGCGCACGACAGCAACCTCGTGCGCTTGCGTCGGGGCCTGCATAGACTAACTAAGAAGATCAACCGCATACACGATATCAGGACGTGTAATGGTAAGATAAAGAAGGCGACCAACCAACTGTCTATAAGCACCAGGGTTAGTGGCGGGAGGAGACGGCGCGCGGCCTAAGTGATGTTGCTGCTCAATGAGCGTTGAGCAAGGCTTAGCAGCCTCAAGACCAGTATCAGCAAGAATATTGAGGACATATTTCCGCTAGTTAAGCACAAGACCGCGCGGACATCAAGCCACCTCAATCCCAAGGAAAAACTTGAGAGGACCCAGATCTTTGATAGTAAAACGATCAAGGAGAAAACCCTTAACTCGAACAATAAAAGCCAGATCAGTGCCGGCCAAGATAACGTCGTCAACATATATTAGAGCAGTGACGAACGTAGCCCCACGCCGATAAGTGAAGAGAGCATGATCGGCGCGGCTAGGAGTGAAACCCAGCTCAACCAGGGCCTGGGTGAATTTTTTATACCAATTTCGAGATGCCTGATGTAGACCATAGATAGACTTATGAAGTCTACAAACCCGACGGTCACCAGGACTAGCTAAACCCTAGGGAATAGCCATATAAACCTCCTTGTGGAGATCGCCATGCAGGAAGGCGTTGTTTATGTCCAACTGGTGAATATGCTAGTCGCGAGCAACAGCAACAACAAGGAGAACGTACCGTGACTAGTTTAGCAACAGGAGCAAAAGTGTCATGGAAATCGATGCCCTCAACCTGTGTGAAGCCCTTGGCTACTAAACGTGCCTTGTATCGCTCAACAGACCCATTCGGTTTAAATTTTATTTTATAAACCCACTTGCAAGCAATACGCTTCTTACCACGGGGTAGATCGACAAGGGACCAAGTGCCATAAGCGCATTGATTTCGCGCGTCATTGCCTCACGCCAATGGGGAAAACGAACAACATCATAGAAGGAGGTCGGCTCATATGTCGCACTAACTGCCGCAACAAAAGCATGATGGGCAGTAGACAGGCGATGATATGAAAGGTAATCATCAAGAGGATATGTCACCATCCCCGAGTGTGCTGCCCCCGACAGCTGAACATCAAAACCACGAAGTCTCATGGAAGGGAAACGAACACGATCACCACGCCGAACCGCAGGAACAGGAGGTTCAGCTGGAGTATCTGGCTCGGCCAAAATAGAAATGTCTGGAGAAGAGGCACCGACCGAGGTCTCACCAGGCGAAGCAGGAGAGACGGGAGAGTCGTCATCAGTGGACGAAACAGCCGGGTCTCGAGGTGGCGAAGCAACCGGGTCTCGAGGTGGCGAAGTGCTAGTGGCAACGTGCTGAGCATCATCATGCTCAAGCTCACGAGCGCCAGGGGAGGAACCCATCCAAACATCATCGTCAGGTGCGGAAACTGCAGTAGGTGCAACGCCAAAGGAAGGCTGCGAGACTATGGCAGGTGTGAGTGAACTCGGATCGGTGAGATCACGATAGGGAAAAACAGTCTTGAGGAACTGGACATCTCGAGAGGTATAGATGGTCCGAGTCTCAAGATCATAAACTCGGTAGCCACGCTGAGAAGACGGATAATGAGAAAAATGTCAGCCCGACCGCGATCACCAAATTTATGCAGTCCATGATGATTATCCCGAGCATAAACCAAGCAACCAAAACTACGGAGATGCTCATAAGTGGGATCTTTGCCGAACAAGAGCTGAAATGGAGAGCGATGCCCAATAGAAACGAGGGGCATTCGATTAATCAGGTAAGCGGCGGTCAAAACGCATTCTCCCCAGAACCGCAGAGGCAGATTAGCACAAAAACAGAGGGCACGAGCAGTCTCCAACAAGTGTCTGTGCTTACACTCGACCACTCCATTTTGCTGTGGAGTGTCGGTGCAAGAAGTCTCTAAGACAATCCCTTCATCTTCATAATAAGCAGTCAAGGCTGTGGTCGCAAATTCTGGACCATTGTCAGCCTGAATCCGTCTGGCCTGTTTGCCGAACTACGTCTTGACCAAGTTGCAAAAATAGATTAAATGGCGAGCAACATCGGATTTGTCGTGCCAATACTATGAACTCGAACACCCGTTACCATTTGGAATTTTAACCTGTAACGATGGACTCGGATCCAACTCGGAATCCAACAATGAAGCAGAGTTAACGATATGCTCATTATAACCGAAATCAATAACCCATGAAGAAGAGTTTAAGAAAAAGTACCTTCCATGTTGGACGTTAGATCAATCGAAGCCCGCGCAGACTGCAAGAGATCGCCATTCAAGAGCGCCTTGAGCTGCTCGATTTGACGACTTGACAGCCCTGGAATTTGGCTCTCCGCGGCGTACACCTGTGCGGCCTGTGGGGGAAAACGTGGAGCTCGGTCAGATCGCCGCTTATAAGGCTCCCCCTTATCACCATTTCGAGATGGGAACCTAATCAACCGATATCATGTTTCTTTGAGAACGCAGCCGCTACAGGCCTTGGGCGCCTACTATTGGTGATTTTTCGCTGTTGTTCATCATTAGTCACCAATGATAAGCCTCCGTGAGGGTGGGAGTCGGCTTCATGGCTAAGATTTTAGATTTGACCGTAGTAAAGGCGTCATCCAAGCCCATGAGAAAGTCGAATAATTGCTCCCCCTCTCGGATGTCCCGCTGCTGCCTTTTGACGTCACAACTGCAACCTGAGCATGTGCACTCTAAAGACGGCGTTAGCGACTGAATCTCGTCCCAGAAGCCCCTCAACTTCGTATAAAACATCGAGACTGACGACTTCTCCTGCTGCAGGCAGCTGATGCTGCGTTTCAGCTAATATAAACGACTAATACTGCCTCGGCCGAATCTGGACTGCAAATCAACCCAGATTTCGCGCGCGGTAGAAGCAAAACGTACGCTACTACGAACTTCCTTCGTCATCGAAGTCTTCAACCAGCCTTTGACCATCGCGTTGCAACGATGCAAGGCCTCTCTTTCAACTTAATTCTTCGCGATGGGTAAGCTCCCATCAATGAAACAGATTTTATTTTTAGCGATGAGCGAACCAGTGATATCCATGGCCCACTCTCCATAATTAACATCTGTTAACAACTCCCCAACAAACAGGTTGGATGGACTATCGGATTGATGAAGCTGGAGATGTGAAGGGAGGACTACCTGATCGTCGACGCCGCCATCCATTGGCGATTTCTGAGTCTTGCTCGACTTCTGAGTCTTGCTTGACTCCTCGTCCGAACTCATGATGAATGTCGTGGATCAAAAGCACAGCTCTGATACCATGTAAAAATCAATACTGCATAATAGAAAGATGACACGAGACAACGATTTACGTGGTTTCCCCACTCGATGTGAGTGGGACTACTCCACGGAGAGCTGAAAGCTCTATGAGAGAATTTTATTATTCTGCTGTTCTTGGCTTAGGGTTCGGCCGCCATTCTCCTAGCTATTTATACAAAAGCAATTAACCTAACTCTATCAACTGGCTACGTACATGAGAAAGGCAAATAACAAAATGACCCCTATCTAATTAACAAGTGTCATAGGGAGTCACAACAAGATTGTTTAAGATTTGCTATTGCCAACCTTAAACAAAAACTAAAATTTATTTAATTTGTTATGTTTTAACCCGGACAAAAAGTGGTGTCTACAATATAGGTAGGAAACTAAGGATGATTTTGTTTGTTTTGAGGTTATTATGCTCTGGTGGATACCTTTCCTTATCTTCTAATCTAAACTTACAGAATTTCCCTACTTCCTTTCTGTTTTAGAGGTGAAGAGTGTCCATATACTGATTTTATTGTTCTTCGATTCATTGGGTGATACCAACCAATCTTGAGCAGGTACGCAACTTTCTTTGCTTACTAGATAAACAATAGGCTCAGAACTTAGAAATTGATTAGATTAGTGTGCAATATATGCCGTTGAGATTTTAAGTGTTATTTTGCTTCTTATATATAAGGTTTGCATCATTGGTAGTAGTTTGGATGAACTATTTTCGCACATACTTTGACAGGAGCTTAAATATTTTGCATCTCGCAATTGAAATATTGGACAAGAGTTGGGTTTCGAAACCACGGGAAAGTATTGCATATCGCAACGGAGTAGAGAACTTTTTGAACTTTGCATTTGCTAATTCAGCTGAGGGAGATCAGATTGTGTGTCCTTGTGTGGACTGTATAAATCTGTTGTGGAAAACAAGAGATATCGTTCGTACGCATTTGGTTGTACGTGGATTTGTTCCGAAATACAATCACTAGACTGAACATGGAGAGAATGTTGTCGAGGATATAGGAGATGCCGAAGGGATTGGTGATGATATGCATGGTATGTTGAATGATGCCTATGCTACAGAGAGTGGTGAAGAATCAAATGACAAGGTTAAGGAATTTTTTGCTCTCATACAAGATGCTGATCAAGAATTGTACCCAGGTTGCAAGAAATTTTCAAAACTATGCTTTTCTTACTCGTTGGTTAAAGCTGGATCTAAGTTGACGTATAAAGAGATGAGTTGTTTTGTCTTGGGAAAGGCTCTCACTTAGAGTAGTAGGAGGAGTAGAAGAAGAGGGAAAGATAAGTCTATGTTGAGGGCAGAGATAGAAGCAGAGGTGCAACAACAATATGATGCTAAGTTAGTCGAAGAAAAGAAAAAGTTTGAGGAGACAATAGCTCGTCTACAAGCAGAAAAAACCATGAGGAAAAGATGAGAGAAATGTGATCGACATGAGAGACAATTTTCTTTTCAACATAAACAATAACCTATTAGTACATTTTTCTACTATATTTAGTTTATATCATTGTTGAGATTGAAGTTAAAGATATTTCTTACATATGGATTGGGTTAAACGAAATCTATTCTATTTTTATAATGAATTATTTTTATTATTAACAAAATCTTGTTGCAATTTGGTATTTGTGACTAGCAATTTGTCACAAAATCATTACAATTATGTCAAAACAAGTCATAGTTCTTGTCAATAAATGTGATATATGTGACAAATTTGATATAAAAATTTGTATTTATGTTGAGTCAAATCATTACCATCGTTGTATTTTCTTATGACAATAGTTGCCACATAAATCATTTTTGGTGACATATCAAATTGACACTAATGTATACTATTTGCTACAATGTACAATCATCACAATAGTTGTCATATGCGACACAAAAAGTATGTCACTAAAATATTATTTCAGTTTAATTTTGTTACCGAAAAATATAATCGTGACAACACGATTTTCACTAACTATACAAAATTATGATGGCTAAAGTTCTCACTATTAATTATATTTGTGACGACAATATGTCTTACATAAAATGTTTTTGACCATGTATCAGATCGTCACTAATGTATACTTCTCTTACAACACACCAGCGTCACAAATGCTATCATAAGTGACAAAAACCACTTATCATAAAAGTATGCTTTCGTGACAAATTTTATTTCTTGTCACTAATGTCGTCACAACCGTACCATAAACTATGTCACAAAATCCGACTTTTACGACAATATCCCTGTCACAAAAACCTTCTTTTGTGATAAATGTGTATCTGAAAAGACGCATCATTTGTGACAACTAAAATTTTTACGAGTGGAAAACATATGGTGACTATACAAACTCGTCACAAATGCAAAGCATTTGTTACACTTAGAAGGTTGTCACAATTGAGCACATCTTATGTGACAGAAAAAACCCGTCACGATAAAGCTTATACATATTAGGTATACATTTCAAAAGGTGTTACGTAAACTTTTTGAAGTGTTGCCTAAAATAGTGTTGCATATGTAAAATAGTGTTGCATATAGTGTACTTATGCGACACATTTTTGTTGTTGCGAAAATTGCCAAAAGTGTTACCTATTGCTTTATACAACACCATCTATAGAGGACACTACTAAAAGTGTCGCATATTGCATCGCAACATTTTCGGCACCTTTTGCAACACATTTCAAGTGTTGCCAAAGGCCACTTTTCCCGTAGTGCGTTGAAGATGCTCGTCGCGGAGGGGCGTTCTCCCGGGTCCTTCATCGTTTGTCGCCAGTGGGTCGGACGCCTTGAATGGTGTTCATCCGCGGCCATGGACGCTGGTAGCGGCTCAATGACAGCTTTCCTCCTCGGGTTTGGCTCTATGGCTGATGCAGGTCCTTCATTTGCCGCCTCTTCGTCGTGGATAGGAGGTGTGGTGACTTTGGGAATTTGAATGATGAGATCGCTTTTCCCAAAACCAACGCTATATTTAGGAATGTTGTGGATTGCTCTGAATCTAATTTGCTTTTTGAAGCAAATCCACCTTTGACAATCAGCCAACAATCGTTGTCCCGTTATTACTAGCACATCGAATCCAATCACATGAACGTTTACGTGCTCCTTTTCAAACCCAGGTAAGGTGAGGAACACGATAACATGATGTCGCAGTTCCAACTTCATGTTGTCAGGTTTGAGGTCTTCATGTACCCGTTCATCCCTAGTTGAGAGTTATGACGAACTCATATTTTTTACCATGGCTCTGATACCAAATGATAGAAACCTATTTCTAGGGTTCTATCGATCAGGTTAGTAAGATTGGGAATCAATAGATATTTAGAGATTTAGGATAGAATTGAGGATTGAGATTTGGCGAAGAAGAAGAGAAGAATCGGTCTAGGCCTTTAGAAAGATTGAGGTCGAGAATTGAGAGGATAAGGAGATTAGGGTTTAGGAGATGATACGATATCGACTAGCACAATATTTAATTTCCGTAGTCAAAAAATAAAAATTCAAGTTCAATAATTTAAGTATCAATTAGGATGCCATTGGGTCACGTTTGCATTCATGGACTTAAAGTGACATGATCAATTTTTGCGTGGAAATTGATGGACAATAAGTGGTGGCGTGGAATTAGTTGGTTGGTAGTTTGCATGGGTTAATTTTGCATACGTGGGCTCATTATTCAATTAAGGTGGTCATTATTCAATTAAGTGGATTATAGTTTGGTTTGGTACTTTGGTCATATAAAAAATGCTTCTAATTGATCCTTAAATCGTTGAACTTGAATCTTTATTATTGGACCACGGAAATTAAATATCGTGCTTGTCTATATCGCATCAGTAGAGTTTTTTTAATATCCTTCTTATTGATTCTTAAACGAATAACAAAGCAATTATATAGAAAAAGAACTGAAAATCTAACAATAATCTTAAACTTAGCAGCCAAGTAATTAGTTATTCTAATAATTATCTCTAATATGAATATGGTAATTATAGTAATTATTTATGTTATATTTTATTTAAATACAAATGTAATTTTGTGAGTAGATTGTCTTGAAACATGTTTTATATATGTTTAAATTCATTTGCTATTATAGTTTTTCACATTTCTATATATTTTGTTATACCGTCATAAACTAGTTGTAAAGCGGTTGAATTATACAACTTTCTAAATCAGCGCAACGGTAGTGTTAATTGCCCTAAAACATGTACAGGCTTAATACTTACAGAGCATGCTCTCAAGCAAAAAATAAAGGGCTAATACCACTACAACACCCGAACTATGAGCAAAATACCACTTGTGTCCTATTTTTTTCAATATTCCATTTGTATTATGAACTATTATTCTGTTAGTGTTGACCAATAGTTTTTAACAGAAAGTTCAGTCAGAATCTACGTAGGATTTGACATGGAATTTTTAATTATATTTTCATAGAATTTTATAAAATAAAAACAAAACCCCTATCTCATCCAGAAAATTCTTCCCAAGCTGTATTACCTCCCACCTGGACATCCGCTCCACAATCGAAACCACCAAGGCCATCCCCATCACCGCCATTAGATAAAATTCAACCCCCAACCCTAATAATCCAAATAGTCCACCCAAATTCTACAGCTCGCCTCAGTTTCCAGCCACAATACAAGATCTCTTCTATGCAGGCATCTCTCTCTTGCAGATCTGTACCGACGCTGCACTGTGATTGGAGCAACGACGAAAGAAGCTGAATCGCCCAACCATTGGAGCGACTCGAGGAGGGACGTCGGCGATGGATCTGGACCGAGAGAGAGAAAGCAATGGCGGGCGACAACGGTGGTAGGAAAGACGATCTACAGGAGTTAGAGTCGGATCTACTTCCCCGCCCTTCTCTCTCCCTCCCTCGCGCGCGGCGGATCACCTCGTTAGCGTCGTTTAGGTTTCTTGTTCTTGTTCGAATACGAGCAGGGGAATCGGCTTGGAGATTTTTTATAGTAAGAGAGGGCGAATCGGTAGGGAATAAGAATAATGAGATTTTGTTAATTTTGGCTTAATAATATAATTGGATTTACAGTTTTTTTAATTTTAACTCAATTTTTATGTAATTTGAATTAAAAAACATGAGATAAGTGACTTGACATCTATGTGGCAGCCACATTCTTTGCCACGTCAACAAAAGTCAACTTCGCGTTGACCATCTTTTCGTCAATCGTTATCTTTACGGTAACGAAATTGACAAGATACAAATGATACAAAGTATCATGGTTGAGGACATGAATGGAGTATCAACTTTGCGATAGGTAGAGTATTGTAGTGCTATTAGCCCAAAAATAAATTCTCAAAAAGATAGGTACAGTATTGTAGTGCTATTAACCCAAAAATAAATTCTCAAAAAGGTTCTCGGAGTGGATCCTCTATACCAACACGTATGCTTTTGTACTATCTTTTCTTGGGACTCAAGCAAATAGTTAGGCTCAGAGTAGAGGAACCGATTTGATTTTTGCTGCAATCAAAGTGTTGGGAGATTCGTCACAGCTCCATTTGCATGCTACTGGTAGTGTTATACAATGCACCAAATGGTCTCGATAAAATTCGACAATTGACCTAGTTATTCAAGTAGAGCTAACAGCAAAAGGAGCCTCTAAAAACCAAACTCTACCATCTCTCTGAACCAATAATAATCTTCCGATCATGACAAACCGGCTATTTTGAAAGGGCATTCATCTTTACTCTCAGATAGTAAAGCTTGGCACTTCTTACTTTCTTCTTGTTGGGGGCATAGCTCGGGCCCTAGCGCATCCGCCAATGTATCAGAGGCCGCGTAATACCCCATGGGTCATACCGCGCCCACTCACAGCCGCCGACCCCGTCCACGTAGACACGCCATCACGGTATTCACTACGCGGACTAAGATGCCCGTCCCGTGAACTCCACGGAAAGAGAAGACCAAGACGACATCGTAGAGCATATCTCTGTGGTCAACTCGCAGGAAGCCTCCGCGGACCGAATCCGCGCGACCCAATGTACTCGCGGAATGTGAAGACCAAGACAATGTCGTATCCCTGACATGCAGTCGCTTCTCACTTGTAAACCTAATTATACCCTAGTTATGTGTCTTGTCAGAATGTCTTGTCACTTGAGATATCCACCCACCAAGGGGGCCTATAAATAGAGCATTTACCCCGATAGGTGAGGTATCCATTTTTCCTTTCTCGCTCTAAGAATTCAAGGAACTTCTCTCTCTAAAACTCTCTCCTTGTCTCACTTGATTGTCTCCAAGTGTTCTAGTTAGACATAAACACTTCTTGTACAGCACCTTAACCTCCTTTTTGTTAGGCGAGTATCTGCAATCCACCCACCACAGTTTCCACATCACTAATACAGTAATTAACAGGTAAATTCTGAAGGAAACAATGCTGACAGTAATAAAGATAGGTTAACATGAAATGCCTAAGATCAACAACTTTTGATACTGGAAGAGATGATTCACTCTGCATTCCCTTCCTCTTAAAACTGCTGCTACGCAAACTTGCCATTGAGAAAGAGACCAAGCTTAAGATAGCTCCTTTTCGAGTACTTTCCCAACAAAGGAGTCCGCAAAATGTACAGAGTGTCGGAACACATTGAATCAACTTAAGAATACTTCTAAGACACAAACATGTTGCCATTTGATTCGAGTGGGAGTTGTCTTAGGTTCACTAAACATTGGGAAACAACTGAAGATATTACCTACATCCGACATAATATAATGGAAAATGGTCAATTTGTAAGGAATTGAGTAACTGCTTAGGAGCAAGAGAAGGAAAAAGAAGTGCAAGTTGGAATAAAAAGACCCAAGGATACTTACAACATGATGAGAGACTCAACTCCAACTCCTGCTACCTGCCTTCGGATCCTAAATGTGATGTTTATGCCAGCATTGCGTCTTGCTATAACAATGCCCTTAACGGTTGAAAGACGCATCTTATTTTCAGGCACTTCCTGCTCATTATACAAGGACCAGTGTTCCAACACTTAAACAGTTAAGTTGATTGCGTCGAACTTGAGCAAAAAAGATGGGACTTTGGCACTTTGCACAAAATCAGTACCACTTTGAGTTGCACAATGTAACCAGGACGTATATAAGGTATTTTCTCTCTGTGTCGTCACTTCCTCTACTGCTTCCCGATTGAGAATTTGCAAGACAATAATAATGTCATCAATGTCCTGGTAAGAATACATGGCATCAATGTGAAACTGGAAAATGAGCTTTTACTGAAACTCAACCTCCATTAACAAGTATATACCTGCATTATGCTCCTTGCTGTTTTATCCATCCTCTTAAATTTGATTCGAGGTGAAGGTATTGAAGAATCTTGTGAAGCCGGTGCATCAGAAGAACCCTAAGTTGAAATGTTCCTACTTGGGAAAGCAGTCCCAAGAACAGACCAAGGCGTTAAATTTAGACTAGAGCTTATCCCACTGCTACTAAACTTGGCGAAACTCCCACTTTTGAACTCTGATGTCTGCACGAGAGAAGAGCCAAAGTCAAGAAGGCAAACAAAATTCCTCAAGACATCTAATGCTAATCTGGGTGATCACTTCCATTGAACTTCTAATGTCATAAACCAAAATAAAGCAAGTTCTTTCCACGACATTGAAGTCGTTCTCATGCAGTAAGAGACCGTACCAATAGCGGAGGAGAGCCGGAAGGGAAACGGTGAAACGAGCAGAGAAAGTGATTCGAAGTTCATTGCCACGATTGACGAAAGAAGCACCTACGTCTCCGCTTCGCTGCAAGCGCGCAGTTATGGAGCTGCTGCTGCCAAGGGTCTTTTCATATTCCAGAGCCGAGCTTCCCTCCCCCTTTGCTGCTATATGCTGGCTGCTATTATCCTCTTGATTTTTCAGATGATGACATTGATACATTGAAGTTCAATTTGAAGATGTTTCAGGTTAATATTCCTAATTATCCTTCTTTGGAGAATCTATCATCTATTGCTGATCTATGTAAGGAGTTAGCAAGTATAAGGTTGGGAAAGGAATACAGCCTTATTGATAGACTGATTCGTCTATTATTGACTCTTCCAGTTTCTACTGTTACAGGCGAACGTGCATTTTCAGCTATGAAGATAGTGAAGAATAGACTGCGAAACAAAATGAATGATGATTTTCTTGCTGACAGCTTAGTTGTTTTCATTGAACGAATGATAGCTAAGAATTTCAGATTAGATGATATATTGAGTGATTTTGTAGATCTCAAAGAACGTCGTGTACTTTTCAAATAATTATTTTTATACATTAATTTTTATTTTTTAATTTCGGCCCCCCGACCTTGAAATCCGAGCTCCGCCCCTGCAAAGGCCGTCGCCTCCGCCTCCTCCGATCTCCA